TGCAAAATAGCTTTAGCTCATGACATGAGTGTTTTTTTGTTCTCTCTTCAACAACGTAGTGTCTTCCTTTGCTCCTTTCTGGCATGCCCATTTAGCCACAAAGGCTGCTTTTAAGTACTAGAATGAGGGGTCAAGGATTTCCGGAGGTGGAACATGCCAAAATGGTCAGAATTCATCACCCAAGTGCTGGAAAAATCTCCTCATTGGGGGCAGTGCCTGCTTGTTGGAGGACTACGGCGAGATTCAGGTTCAATACACCAACGGACAGCTCTGTACTCTCTGTCAATGCCCATCTCAATTATTCACTTGATTGAGAAACATCCTGGAGATGGCAACAAAAGGCTCAGGCCCATGTGTGAGCCCTTGGGTGAAGGAAACGCAAAATATAATCCTGCTCCTTCTGATCATCATGGTCAGACCTTTTGATCCTGCTCTGTGTTATATATCAATTCCAATGAGAAACAGTTCACTGCAAGAGTCTGTATCCAGGTACACATCTCCATTCCTTGTTGGATTTAGTCTAGCTCACATTTCTGGAAGCATTTTTGTATTTTACTTATGTTTACAGACAAAAAGATGGGTAGAACCATGTTCACCTTGCAGGAAAAGGGCCTTTCTTACTATTTCCTTTCAAGAAAAGCCCTTACTCTTCCGGAGTTTATTATTATGATCCTAGAAGCATAACCTCTCCTGCCAGTTAAGTTGGCTCTACTTTTGCTAGTACTAGAAAGCACTGGTAATTTTTAAGTTTTTTTCTGGCATTAAGTTAGGTCGTATTTACTGCCAGAAAACCTTGCCCAGAAACTTCTAACTAAAACAGTGGGAAACACTCCAGTGCATCTTTTCCCCTGCCCACAGAAATCTGGGGATTGAGGATCAGCACCTTTGCTCACAACCACATGAGTCAACATTATAATCCAAATTCTCCTTGTCTGAAGCCACTTTTAGGGACATGTCACCTTGGGAAGCCTAGACTGTGAGCACACATTGTCCTGCGGGAGAAAAGAAGAGGGATAGAGGGAAAAGGTGCAGAGGAGAAGGGACTGTTCTCAGTCCTAGGGAAAAAAACAAATGTATTTTCTTTGTGCAAAACTATCTAGATTCTAGCACATAAGTCATCCAGACACATGAAGAACAGGAAAGTAGTTACCATGGATTTACAAAAGAGAAATTGAATTTAACCAACCTCATATGAGGTTGAGTGGCTTTGGTGGATGGGAGCAGAGGAGCGGATGCTGTTTGTCTCAGCTTTAGCAAACATTATCTGCCATAACATCCTTATGGGCCAACTGGTGAAGTACCGGCGAGAAAGCCGGCAGTGAGTTGCACTGAAAACCAGCCTG